CATAATTTTCTGCCCCCCACTTTCGGTACTTTGGGACAGGGTTGACATGCTCAATCCTTCGCACAAGTCGTCATTCCGTTAACAATCCTGTACTCGCTTGTCAAAATAGTTTTGTGCGCTTTTGTTCCAATAATTACATATGTTTTAAACCTTTTTAATGATCTTATTAGCCTTGGCATTTAGATCAAAATTTGAAGAAAAAAAAATTTACTACGATTTTCGCTGAAAATGACCAAGTTTAACGTACTCACAACGGTTATGGTAAAGTGTAACTACAACAGCATATAAGGCTTACAAAATCGTGAAATAGTCAAAAATAAACTGTAACGATGCCTTCAAAATATACAAAAACGTACTGCACAAAATATCAGAAAGGTAACTGAATAAAAGATGATACCAGGACCTTGAAGAATATATTTTTTTTGGTTTATATTTTTAACCTGTAAAGAAGAGCATGACGCAAAATATTATCCTACAACGATTCCTACAGGGTTCAGAAATAGGAAGAAAGTGACCGAGTTGCTGGGCAAACACAATCGCAGTGAAACCCATATTGGTAGCGTGGAAAAATGTCAAAACCTCAATTCCTGAGGTCCTGGCAGCGAAGCAGATTTCTTGGGAGCAAATGATGGCAGTATGTATGTTTTGACGATACCAGCACAATGGCTGGCAGCACTACTGGAGTACAAGCCAGGTGCAAGGACAGCAATATACTTTTATGAAGGGCTTTGAGTGTGTTGGTTTATTTCCTTTTAATTCCGTTATAACTGCTTATCTTTTGACAGATACGCGTCTACTACGTAGCAGACATCATCAGTGCCAAGTACTCAACATTACTGATGAAGATTGGATTGATCAAGAGCAATATACTGTTTGTTCACTACTATGCGCACTGTTTGAACCTTGTACTTGTCGACGCAGTGTGCATGCGAATTATTGGTCATTCATGTCGGTTTGTCTGTGCTATCATACCCCATCTGACGTGACTTCAGTTGAATCCAACCACCAAGGCAACAACATTGCAGCAAATGGTTAAAGACCTACTATCACAACCATTTGATGGACCGATCATCATCAACATCGTCGATAGGATTAAACTGCCAATTTCCATTGGCTGTCTGAAAGCAGTTTGCATTGTAGAAGATGAACCACCACCGGAGCAAAAAATAAATAAAATTAGCTTAATTGAACTGTTTTAGTGGTAGGTGGACAGCACCATCCACCACGCACTTTGGAGTACTCTCCATCCCCAGATTTAATGCACCATAGAAGAAAAAAATTGCCCCTCCTTAACAAGATTCCTGTGCACGCTAGTGGTAGTAAGCAGCTAGGGTAAATGGCTCGGATAATGGTTTTAATTGTTGCCAGATAGCTTTTATGGTAGCTTAAATACGGTTTTAAAATGGACCTCAATGCGTATCGTACAACCATTTTGCAGTAAATCAATCTTGAAGAGCTTCGAAAATATACCCTTCAGAACCTTCTCCAGAGTGGGCCAACTAGACAGATTCTAGCATCAAAGAGGTTTTGCTGGATGCATCAATGGCAAAGCAGTCTTCACCAGGGTTTTATGAATGTTGTTTTATAGTAGCTTTGTAGGACTCTTCCATCATATGAAGCACACTGCATGCTTATAAACATACAAATTTCAATGGTTTCATTTGTAAACGATATCGTTTAACCACATTGAATCAACAGAACTTTTATCAACATTAAACTTCTATGCACCAACTCGGCAACTTCGAAATAGAAATTCGATTGCCATAAACCATCGTCGCACAAAATATGCAAAATATGAGCCAAGAAATTTGTTTAAATTTTAAAAAAAATGCTACAAGCACGAGGAAGGACTGATCTATGGCTCCGGTATCGCCGATTAACCGTAAGTTTCAGAAATCATGTTTTTACACAACCCAAAACTTTAAACGCGTTTTTCTCGAAACGGTGTTTTCCAAATTGGCGGGAAAGATAACTCAAAAAGATCTCATCCAAATGACTTGATGACTGGTGCATCTTAAAGAAATAGATTTTTACTCTATGTGAACCACTGATATCATGAAAAAATTAACAATAAATAATTTTCAGGTCTGCCTATAAAGGAAAAAAAACAGTGAAAAATCTACTTTTTTTTTCAGATATTTTTTTCTAAATTTTTAAATCGTTTTTTTATGGGTTTTAGAGGTTTACATAGAACAAAAATCTTTTCCGAATAAGGTCCAATTGATAAAAGTAAGTTTTGTCCATTTTTCAGGTCTCTAGAACGCCCGCCAATTACCAATCCCCACCGGAGGCGACCTCCTTCTGATGTGACCCCAAGGAGCCACAGAGGTCACACACCAATGAAAAAAATCTCAAATGCAGAGGAAGAGCAATTTAATGCAAAAAAAACCCAAACGTTTGCGTTGTTTCATTTGCTCACAAAAAAAATTCCGAAAATCGCCGAGTTTTCGACGTGTTACTTGTATTTCCCCCCTTAAATCGCATGATGGCCTCTTACAATCAATACTGACTTTACAATGTCTCGGCATAAACTACATCGTAATATTCACTCTATACGGAATTTTAACTCATGACAAGACACTGCAGACACTACTTAATTTTTATTTAAGGCAAAATTGTACTTTTTAATTTTTCTTTTGAAGTTTTTTTTTTATATTTGAGAAAAAAATATATGTAGGGTAAATGTCGGCTTCGGCACCCATTGACTGTTTTCGGCAACCAAAATTTAAACGTTAATTTCACTATGTTTTACCATCAACACACTTCCCTGAATGTATCCAAACGATTCTTTAGTCTTTCAGCTTCAATCTGATTATATTTGTAGGACCGAGCAATCCTGTTATGCCAGATTTTTCTTCAAATGAAACATACGTACTACAAAATGGGGCTGATTTCGAGTTGCCGATAATAGAACAGCTGGTTTACACGCAGTTCTAATGGGAAGGTTGCCGAAGAAAAAGAGGTTGACGACAATAGTCACACTCACCTGAGAAGTTTAGAGCGTTGTAAAAACGCTTTCAAACAGTTTTGAAGAATTCTGTCGATTGGAATAGATGGAGAAGCAAGCAGCAGATGAATTGAAACAAACAGACACGTCATATATGTGCGTGACGCTGTGAAAATGCTAATAGAAGTGCGGACGCTGCTTAGATTGACGAGAATACGTAAATTCCCCTATTTGTACTAGTCTACGTTAGTTGACGAAACAAATAAATAAATAAATATAAACGATGTACCGTAAAACGGTGTATCTTTGATAATGCGGGTAACTTTGATAGTACAATATAAGGAATAAATTTACTCGATGTGCTTTTTCCTAATATGAAACATTGGTTCCATATTGTAGCTTAGGGTATTTCCGTTGATATCGTAAATAGTTTTTATATATTATGTGTTACATATTTTACAAAAATATTACAAAACCATTTTCGTGTTTTTCGCCTTTTTGAAAAAGAACTCAAACCATCACTTATGAAATGTATTTCCGATACAGCCATCACAAATTTAATGTTATATTCTTATTGCTTATGAAGTTTTCTGATTATATACCCATTCAATGTTTCATATTTAAAGAACTAAATTGTTTGAGTTTCACTCATTTTTTTCTACATTCATCGAGCCTTATCAAAGTAACCCCAAATCAAAATACTGAAGTTTGGTCACAAAACTAAAAAAATAGTGCAAATGCTTTAATTTTCGCTCAACATATTACTAACGAATTAACTCTTGGATCCTCAGTATTTGTTTTAAAAATATAAAATTGGAAAAACATTCATTGATGTAAAAAATATTTAGAATATACTTTAGAAAACTATCAATGTTACCCCGTTTTACGGTACCTTAAAACGGGGTAACATTGATAGTTTTTAAAAGTATATTCAAAATATTATTTTACAGCAATGATGATGATTTTCAAATTTTATTTTATTTTAAAAAAAAGTACTGAGGATCGTAGAGTCAATTCGTTAGTAATATGTTTAATGGAAATTAAAGCATTTGCATTATTATTTTTTAGTTTTGTGACCGAACATCCGTTTTTTTTTCATTTGGGGTTACTTTGATAATGCCCGATGAATGTAGAAAATAATGCGTGAAACTCAAACAATTTAGTTCAATAAATATGAAATTTTGATTGAGTATATAATCGGAAAACATTATAAGCAATAAGAATACAACATTAAATTTGTGATGACACGGCTCCGTAAAGCTAAAGCGATTGAGCCTTTCAAATAAACGAACTGGATAAAAAATGTGATGGCTATATCGTAAAAACATTTCATTAGTGATGGTCTGAGTGCTTTTTCAAACAGACGAAAAACAAGAAAATTGTTTTTTAATATGTTTGTAAAATATGTTACACATACTATACAAAAACTATATACGATATCAACGGAAAACCCCTAAGCTACAATATGAAACCAATTCGGAAGAGCAGAGAGTAAATTTAATCATTATATTCTACTATCAAAGTTACCAACATTATCAATGATACCCCGTTTTACGGTACATAGAATTTTGAAAGATGCAACGATCAATTTCCTTTTTTTATTTGACAATATGTAGGGTAAATGACGGCCTCAGCATAACCTTTACCTATTATCGTACGGAGGGTCTTAAGCCTTCGAGCGTTCATATTTTTTTTTTTTTTTTCATGACCATACTTTATGTTTCAAAGCATATTAGAGCCAAAATTGAGCTATCAAGAAGTTTGACTATAATAGGTAAAGATATTGCCGAAGCCGTCAGTTACCCTTGGTAACATTCTTAGATTTAAATAAAAGTTTTTATTCTAACACACCTATTTAAAAAAAAACGGATCGATTAGACACCACAAATGTCAACACTCTTAGTAGCAGGAGCACCTATAAATGTGAATGAATTTGGATTTGGAACAAATAAAGAGTTTTAAAAGAATGCTGACAATCAAAAGATAACGAGCACTGCCAATGCACGTTCCAGAGATATTGCATCAACCACCAACCCATCGCGCATCCACTTACATGCGATCGAACGACGATGTTCCGCAAATTTCCGTCAAGAGTTCTGAAGAGTGCACTTCTGTCCAGCTCCTACCGTCGACGCACTCTCAAGCCTCCTATAATGGTATTGATCATCCACTCGAAGCAATCGGGATCAATCATTGTTGTTGTTCCGTCTCCTCCTTTTGCCATTCGCCTATCGAACCTTTGTGTACGAACACCATTCGCACTCAATTCAATCAATTACGACGCTGCTGCTGCTAGTTTTGGGCCACAAACCGCGCAATCCACTTTCATTCAAATCGTTCTTCTTTCTCCTTGGCTTTTCAGGGACAACACTCCCACGGAACCACTGGCACGCCACTCTCGACGGTCATCATTTTATCGAATCCGGACTATTTCCGGAAATGCTCAATTATCACTTTTCTGCCCGTCGCTCGTGGCTCACATGTGGGCGGCTGGGTTTATTTATTTATCGTTGGCTCCAAAAATAAATAGAGCACAACGACTTCCAGTGGCACGAACCAGCTAGAATTTTTTTTTTTTTTTTTTGACCTCTCCTGCTCTTTGCAGCACCTATTCCAAACTAGGCCACCGACGCACGATGGCAACATCCTTGTGCCCAGCAGGATCCATTGCCTTGACCCACCGCCGGGTCGCAGGTGCAATCTTTCAGTCCCCACCCGAAATAAAGAAAAAACCAAAAACAACACGCTTTCGCACGCCACTTGTTGTACCTCAGCACAGAATGTTCAACTCTCGCTTCCTTTCCCGCTCTAACACGCGAAGATTTTTGGATAGAACAAGTTCTGCACCCAGTTCCTGCAGCTTCCTTGCACTGTACCCACACACACTCACACTAACACAGTCCTCACTGCAGCATGGACCGGGACATGGGGGGGCTACGGGTTGTTCCTCCTCCCGTCGTCGTGACACACTGGCAGTCCAACATGTTTACTCTGCTAACGCTCGGCGGCTACTGAATTCTCGAGACGCTGCCCGATAGTACCTACTAGCGCACACGAGCACCGAAAGGTAAGTGTGCTACACTCCACAGTTGTAGGAGCATTATGCAATTAAGGGCCACAGGCACGCATGCGTTCGACCTTCGTTCGGAGGCCGGTGATGTTCGCGGGCGCGAGAGAATCTCCCGTTCCGATTTCCAGATTGGTCCCTAGCTCCAACCATGACCTCGGTCTTCCACCAAGCGGTCCCCATCGTACATCGCTCGCCCATGGAGACGCGTGGTACTTCAATCATCATCAACCGACAGCGATCAACCCATACGAACTGGACGAAACTGGACCGACACGAATGGAGACGTGCGATGTTCATTTGCCATTTGTACGACTTCGTTGGATGGTTCGCTCGGTTCGGGGTTCGCGTGATGTGCATGGCAAGGGTTTCGTTTCGTTTCCCCGGGTTAGTCTGGCGCGTAATTAAATGGACAATTATGTTTCGGTATCGATGGATACGGTGACGACGGCGACGGCGTCGATAAAGACATGTCCAAGGATGATGTGATGGATGCGTGACGAGGAAGGAAATGGAGCTAAATCAGTAATCGTTTTGGGGAATGCCAAAAAAGTTGACTGTTAAGCAGCGGTTTCGAGCATTTTAAAACAGCGTAACTCTCGACATCGGTGTATGGAAACAATGGTGAGGAATTGAAATTTCTGGCGCAAGAGAAGAAAAAGAGTTAAGAATTGAGTCCAAAACATGACTGCATTGTTGACGTAGGACTAAGAAGTTATTGTTGCTGCTCTATTCAATAATATATTAACACTCCGTACACGATGCCTCCGGTAAAATGTTTTTAAATCTATTGATAATGAATAGATCTTTAAAGTATACAGTTTCAAATGGTGCCAATAGATTTGAAATATGTGAATAAATTGCTGAGCCAAGATTTTTCAAACATTGCAAACATTTTACTGGAGGCATCGTGTTTGGAGTTTTAATAACTAAATATTTTTTTTATAAATTCAACTCCAAAATTAAAAATTGATCATTATTATTTTATTATTATTTATTTGAATAAACCCTAAAATTAAGATACAGTTTTTGACGTAGGACTAAGTCTGTGATTTCGATATGGGGGTACACTTTGTGAAAACCAAAAATGGAACATGTAACAAAATTATGAAAGATTTTGAACGTTAATAACTCAGCTGCCCCTGGACCAATTTGAATAATTTTATCACCAATCGATCAGAAATATTTCTACGCATCAGCAAATTTAAGACTTTATCATTTTTTCAAAATGTTAGTATTGAAAATTGAACGAATTATTGCAATGTAATTAAAATTATCACCGATTGCCTGCGAAAAGGGATTTCCCTAACACAGATTTCAAAGTTGAATTTCATCCGGTCTCACCAAACGGTGTTTATTCGATCACCTCGTGGTAAGTGTTGGTGTTCTCCAGTACACAACGAAAGGCTGCCTGCAAGCAGCGAGCTGCAGCCCACATGGGCATCCATAGAAGGAGGAAGAAGCCACACCGCTATTGATCGGAATCAGTAGCTATTCGTGAGTCACTGTGGGCCATCTATGCCAAGCGCGTCACACTAAAGAGTATAAACAGAGAGAACTCCGCTTAAATTCCTATTCCTACACAAAACAAAAGCTCCTGCTGCAGTTAACAAATAAGATTTATTATATAAGGCCACGTAGTTCTACGTCACCATTTTGTACAACTCCAACGGGCTGTTCCATGTAGTTTAAAAATTAGAAAATCAGTTCCTTTGTTATTCATATTTAGGTTCACTCAACTTTGGGAAACTTACCAATCTATGTCATGGCAAACAGCTTAAGAAATCAAAATGCACCGACATCACAAATCTTTATGTTGCAGAACTATGATCAACTACATATATACAACATATCCTTAAAGCTACAACCCTCCATTCCATCCTGAATGAGCTCAAAAAATCTGAAATCATCCTCGGCTATCTTCGATTTCGATAACACTTGGCACATATTTTCAGTATGTAGGCACACTAAGGCCGGAACAAATATCAAGTTTTTATTTTGCACCCCAACCCCCCTCAAAATTTAGGAATAACACAAAGGGGGAAATTTAAAAAAAAAAAACTTTCAGTGTATATTTATTTTTTAAGTATCGCAAATTCATTTGGGTATGGATGCTTTTTATAAACCATTTTCATTGGGTCGTTATCTGACAATGTTACGATGTGCCCAGCCCACCGTAGTCGCCAGATTTTTGCATTCGATCTAAATTTCTTAACTTGCAAACCTGCTGCAATGATACTTAATGATTCAATTCTTTTCTATAGTGATTCAACAATTTTCGAGCTGAATCCAATCTTTTCAAAATTGGTTTAAAATGTTTAGAAGTGAGACCAAATCAGAAACGATTCAGGAAATTCATAATTGAGATGACACTTTTTTCAAAGCAGATTCAAAACTGAGTCTGAACTTATTTGAAGTGAGTTTCACATTTTCTGAAGTGATGCAACATTAGCTGATTTAATCCTTTTCTTAAATGAATCCCGAACTGAAACTAAACTTGTCAGAACGGGTTTGACATTTTCCTAAGTGAGCCCAGATTTTTGTTAACTGCTTTGGCATTTGGCAAGGACGCAATCTTGCGTAGGCCATCTAGTTTTGCTTAAAGTGTAGAAAGTCTGCCGAAGTGAACCGACACTTTTTTAAGATTAAATTTTCTAAACGGAGTACAACCTTTTCTGAAGTGGTTCAATACCTTGCTTAGGAAGTCCAAACTTTCCTGATGTGATTTAACTAGCTTCTAACGTAGATTCCGCTCCCCTAGACCATTCCTCGTTTTTGTGAGAGTCACATCCTTTGAAAAATAGGCTGGGATTTTAAAGAATGCACCTTCGTGTGTTATATCTGATGGTAGATGTTTTAAGCAAGCACAATTGTTGAGAAAACTGGGTTTACATTCACAAAAGTACGTATTTTTATAGAAATTAGGGTTTCTTGATCAGCCAAGTTAGATTGTGGCTCCGTTCTTTGATAAACACGCTTGGATTTTAAAGAATAGACCTGAGAGGAAGAAGCAGATAGCACCCACGAATTTCATTGTATACTTTTTCTTCTTGTCATGAAAATTTGTGCCATTGAAATCAAGTCAAAACAAGCGTAGCAATATAGCGTGTTTTGCTTTGAGCATGTAATGATTGTTTAAGATTGTTCAGTGTGCAGTGAGAAACTGTACTTTTCTGTTTGGTATTTTATTATACCTTTAGATGTTTTGACAAAACCTTGGTTAATAGTATCTTTCAATATTAATTTGTGTGTATTTTGAATGAATTAAAAAGAAACGGTGTCCCATTGAATAAAATAGCTGGAAACGACAGAGAGAATTTGAGGTTTGGCTTTGTTGTACTTTCTGGAAGAGGTGGCTCAGTAGCAATGCACCGGAGAGTTCAAGGCGTGGAAGACTAAGTTTCTTCTGCTTCTTACTATTCCCCAGAGGAGCGACCTTCGACTTAGAAGTGAGGAGATGAACAGAGATTTCCCCACTGCAGGATACTGCACGTAAATAAATGCAGGCTCCTGTAAAGAAGCGTCACTGAAACCGTGTTCTTCGAGAATGATAGGTTCGGAAATCGATATGACCCGCCGTGGAACAGTGATGGTTTCAACTGCTGCAAGTTCGCCCCTGAACTGCAGCCAGCGATGTTGCAGTTCTTCTTCTAACGGTTCGTCGCAGGTCTTCTTACTTTCCCAGAGCTCTTGCATAAAGCATTTAGCGAGTACGATGACAGGGCCTACGAGTCCTAGGGGATCGTAGAGGCGCGCAGAATCAGAGAGTGCGATACGTTTGGTGATGGCACCTTCTTCATTCCACTTCAGTACGTGGAAATCGAGTTTGTCGGAGGCTGGTGTCCACTTGAGTCCAAGAGTTTTAGCCGCTGAAGTGGAATCTAAGTCAAGAACGGAACGTTCGTCGCGGAGCTCAGCTGGGATGCTTTCCAGAATTTCTGGGGAATTTGACGACCATTTACGGAGAGTTTTTCCTTCGTCCACGGCGTCAACTCCGCTAATCATATCATCCATGTAGAAATCGTTGGCGAGAACCCTTGCGGCAAGTGGATGAGACGACTGGCCTTGTTTGGCAAGCTCTTGAAGCCACTTAGTCGCTAGGTAGGGTGCAATGAATGTTCCGTACGTGACAGTCTTGAGTATGAAGACCCGGATTGATCCACCAGATTTGTCTTGCCACAGAATTTGCTGGAGAAGTCGGTCTATGAAGTTCATCCAGATTTGACGATACATTTTCTTAACGTCAGAGATAATGGCATATTATGGAAATCGGAAACGTAAGGTAATGCAGACTAGGTCTTCCTGCACTACCGGACCCACCATCAATACATCATTCAGGGATATTCCTGAGTCCGTGGCGCACGAAGCATCAAAAACAACCCGTAGTTTGGTGGTAAGACTATCTGGACGAACCACGCAGTGGTGTGGAAGAAAGTATGTAAACGACGGACTTGATGACTCGTTGGGAACTTCCTTCATATGCCCAAGCTCGAGGTATTCTTCAATGAAAGCCGAATAAGCTGATTTGAGTGAAGAATTTGCTTCGAGACGACGACTCAGCAACAAAAGCCGACGTTTGGCTACATCGTAAGATTTACCAAGTTGATGCAAAACCTCCAACTTCTTCGGCAATGTAACAACAAACCGACCATCCTCGTCCCTAGTGGTTGTTGCAGTGAAGTGAGCCTCACAGGTTTCGCTAGCTGATTCTCCAAGGATTGTATGCTGCAAACGTGTGCTGCGACGCCTACTGAATTTTCTACTCTCTTCGTCTCACAGAATTTCACCGACGCTTTACTCTGTATTCCTTTAGGGTGCTCACTCACACACTACTTTTTTTTTTTTTTTAATAATTCGTTTATTTTTCCAGGCTCATTTGCTGTAGCTTTGCGGAGCCGATATTCATTGTTTAGATAACAAAATTACTTAAAACTAACGTTAGTAAAGCGGGGG